CTTTTATTTAATCTCCAACATGTTCAGGTTCTCTGATGGGGGATCCAGTGGTGATGGTGAGCTTGTACCCTGAGTTCCCCCAATCTGTGATGTCCTCACTCACCTCCTGTGGAGAGTTTGTGTTTCTGATGGATCGATCAGGAAGTATGGCATTACCCCTGGACTGCAGCAATGAGGAAAAACGCTGCATCAACAGTGCACGGGTAGTCCTCCACATTTTAAAGAGATGGTTTTAAAGGTTTAAGTTGATTCACTTTAAATATCTGTGAATTAGATAACTCTTTACTTTGATTAAACGGAAATCACTTTATTTACAAAAAAAAATTTAATAACAATCTACTGGACTTGGTAAGTCCAGTGGACTGTTTTTATTTTTTTTTGCAATGACTATGTCCTGGATAATTGAGAACCTTCACCAGCTAAATCACTTTACTGCTAATAGAGAATTGAACCAGGGTGAAGACAGAATCGGTGTAGGCCTATTTATAACTCAAGTTAACTAATAGTATAATCCAACCATAGACAAGTGGTTCCCAATGCGGGGTTGCGGAGAAATTTCATTGCAACAGTTACAGTAAATGAATGCGTGACCCATTTAAAAGTAATTTTATAAAGCTCCAGTTGTTAGTTGTTAGTGTGTATATACATATATATATATATACTGCCTAGCCAAAAAAAAAGTCGCCACCTGAATTCAACTAAGCAAATACGTACGAGCCTCCTATTGGATAATTACTGCATGGGCGATTATCTTTCAGCTGGTAAAAAGTTATTTAACCCAACTGGTGCAATGACTTGCTTCTCATTTCCTAAACAACCATGTCAAAAGACACATCTCGTGGTCGTGGAAAAGATGTTAGTCTGTTTGAGAAGGGTCAAATCATTGGCATGCATCAAACAGAGAAAACATCTAAAGAGATTGCAGAAACGACTAAAATTGGGTTAAGAACTGTCCAACGCATTATTAAAAACTGAAAGGATAGTTGGGGACCCATCATCTTCAAGGAAGAAATGCGGCCGGAATAAAATCCTGAATGATTGTGATCGGTGATCACTTAAACATGTGGGGAGATCAAATTGAAGAAAAACAACAGTAGAACTCAGGGCTATGTTTAATATTGAAAGTAAGAGCAT